GGGAGAAAAGTAAAGTTGAAAACATGCGGGGTTTTTTTTTTTTTTTTTTCCTCTTTTCTGGATATTTTTGGAACTCCTGTCAGAAACACGTAGGCACAAAAGGAAAAAAAAATCTTTTCATTGTAACAAACTTTGTACACGTTATAAAGCGATGCACTGGCCGCACACGTCATCTATCGTAATATACAGTGTGTGTGTGTGTGTGTATTTGTGTGTACATATGCGTGTATATATATGTATATAAATGCAATATATTTTACATCTGCAGATTTGAGTAGAGCCGATGGTAAATAAACAGTAAGTGGTTGGAAAATCGGATTAATCCTGAAATTAATCCCCGATTCATTCGTTTGGCACTGAAACAAATGTGAAAATAAACAAGGCCTGCGCTCTTTGTCTTTTCTCCCCTTTTGGTAAAACAAAGATTTTTTTTTTGATTTTTTTTTTTCCCGTTGTTCTCTTTAACCGTCTGATTTTTTGCAATCGTTTCCTAAATAATGGCGTTCAAAATAAACGGCTCTGACGCACGCAGTCAGTCAGTCTGTTTTATGGAAGTGTTTTTATGTTGTTTTGTGTTTTTTTAGTTGTCCTCCATGGAGTCTGTCTGACTCAGAAAGGCAGAGTGTCGAGGAAAAGTTTGTCAATTATTGCTGGCGGAGGGACGAGATCTTCTAGTTTTAGGTAAAAGATGCGCTGCAGACCTTGGGTACAGAGAGTGCGCAGTTCTGGGAGCTTTCCCAAGAGTTTTGACAAGTAGTTGGGACGATTCAATCCACCGCCACTGAACGTCACTTGGTCCTTGAGGCAGTTTACTATCTTGTTTTGAAGATCCTCCACGCGCTTGGGTTCCTTCAGCCCGTGTCGTTCTGCAACAGAGGCGCAACAAGTACACGCGTCAGACATGGTTCACACAGAGGACGACAGTTCTGAAGTGTTCAGAACGCGCTGGAACCGCTTTGACGCACCTGTTACCATTGCCAGAGCTGCGATGCAGGAGAAGGCTGAGATGTCGACGTTCATGCTCTGGAGATTCGAAGAGAACTCCACGATTGCGTCCACCCACTCTCCAAACCCACGCACGCACTGTAGCCTGTGTAACACAACTCCATTACAAAAAATCAGCTTCCCCTCCACCGGGTTGGACCTGCAATTAATAAGAAACTGCCATTAATTAGGTCTGGAATTTTAACAGCCCTTTAATTATTGAGCAGCCATTAAAAAGCAAATCAGTGAGGCTTGAAGGAGGAGCCGATCATAATCGGGAGATCCTCCAGTGTTATTCTTTTCTGGTAATTGCTCAGACTCACCTGTACGCCAGCCGCAGCACGAAGAGTTCGAGGAAGGCGGATTCAAACAGCAGGTCCTGGTCCTGTTTGGGTAAATCAGAGAAGCCGGGGATCTTCTCCGCCCAGCCCCGGATGATCTCCATGGAGCCCGTCAGGAGGTCGTAGAACTGCTGGATGTGCTGAGTGTTGTCTCCAGCCATTTGGTAGTCAGGGTTGGACTGGAACTGGAATTTAATTTAAACAGCGCCTTAATGAGCTGCCTTAAAATATATAATCCGTGAAATTGCAAACGGCCATTTCCAAGGCAGTGAGAGCGAGGGCGCTTTTTACAGTTAAATTCATGTCCGCCTTTTTTATTAACTTCTCTATTTCACCCGAATTTACTTAGGGAGAAAATATGCCACATTAAAAGCCAGACAAAGTTAAGAATCTATTACTAAAAAACTTTGAAAGCCGTAAAGTTTTTTTATATATAAAAGCAGGAGTGAATGCATCCATTTGGTTGCCTTTTCTCCTTCAGACAGGTACACTGTCTTCATTTTTCTTCTTTTATGGGCACGGTGTGTTTTTTTTTTTATTAGTAGGACAGTGGTGATTTACTCACTCTGGAATAGTCCAAAGCCGACATGGAGGGGTTGGAGTCCACATGGGCCCGAACTAGTGCGCTTATGAGGCTGACAGGCGGCGAGGGTGGGGAGGAATCTTGAGGACTTTTGGGTTTGGACGGGAGGCGTCCTCTCCTACCTTTGAGACTATCCGTTCGGACAACTGTATGACAAAAAAAAGACATTTATGAAGTTAAACAAAAGAGAGAAGCGTTGATATATATTTTATATACAATTGTCATGCGTCAGACGTGGCTGCCACTCGTTTTACGCACGGTCTATTCCCATTAGAAAATGTCACAGCAGACACACGTGCTCTACAATATAATGTATTGCATGAAAATAAAAACGTACCTTCTCTCACCATTCCGACGACAAGGCACTTCTGGAAACGGCAGAACTGGCAACGATTTCTTCTGCGTTTGTCAACAGGACAGTTCTTATTTGCTAAACACACGTATTTTGCATTTTTCTGGACGGTGCGCTGGAGGTAAAAAAAAAGAAAGAAAAGAAAACACACATAAGTCATCCAGCAGGCCCCCTTTTTCAATGGAGTTGTAAACATGCAGTGGCTCTGCAGAGTGAGGACAGATGTGAATGATACAGTATCTGTCACATCTCATGTATGAGAACCAACAACAGGGAATAGACAACAAAACACAATCGTGCTTTTTTAAAAATTTCAATCACACCTTTGAGTCTTTTCCTGTTGCTGTTTTAAAAGCTCGTGCGTTATTCTTATTTTTCAAAATGAAAATAATTTCCAAAAATCGTTCTGCAAATGGTCTGGGCTGCAAGTTGCTTTTTTTTTTTTTTTGGACAGAATTCGTCGCAACTAGAAATGATTTACGGTGACACTCATGTGAGCCTACCTTGAAAAATCCTTTGCAGCCCTCGCAGGTTCTCACGCCATAGTGCTGACAGGCTGCGTTGTCCCCACACACCGCACACAGACCCTCGTTTGACGGAGATCCTCGGGACGGGGGCGATGGCACTTGGCTGTCCACCAGCTGGTGCCCGTGTCCGAGCTGCAGGGAGTGAGGAAAAGCCAGACCCGCTTGTTTCCTGATGGCACTGGGCACGGCGAAGCTCTGGCCGTCCAGGCCGCGGTGCGCACCGGGGCCGTCGTGGTTCATGGAGACGTGCAGGGGCCCGTCGAAGCGCATCTGGCAGCTGGAGACAGGAGTGCCGGGCGGTGACTGTTTGAAGGAGAAGAGCGACAGCCTGGACACGGGGTTCTTGCGCTGGTCCATCATGTGAGACGTGGCCGCGACATAATTTTGGTGGAAGCTGTGGAGAGAGCCAGGGTCCTCCCACATGTGATTAGGCTGGACCTGGAAGTTTGGCGTACTCGGAGCGTGAGGCGAGGAGGTTTTGAAGTACATAGGCCCAGAGTGGGACATCATTTCCTCCGTCTGAGGTGGCAGGTGGCTCTGCTGATGGTAGCTGTGCATCTGGACGTCCTCCACCTTGATCGAGGACTGATCTCCAGCGTGGGGCATCTGGTAGAGACAGGGCGGTTTAACGTCGTAGCTGGTGTTGTAGTTGTCCACGAATGTGCTGAAACTCGGGAGTGAAGTGGTGGCTGTGATCTCAGTGTTGGTCAAGTCCATGCTAAACTTAACGAACTCGGGCGTTAGGAAGTCGCAGCTGTATTCTCCCGCGGTGTGGCAGCTGTAGCTCTGGGTCGCAGGACTGGCTCCTTGAGGTGATGATCCATACTGAGCCTGGACGCAGGGCATGGCTGGGAGGCAAATCCACACAATCAGAATCATGTTCTGATAATAAATATAAAACTTTACCCCAATTATTATACATATATATGTTAAAATGACAACAAACTACAACATTTGATTCAATATTTTTAAACCATACCTCAAATCCTGTGGCAGTTTTTCGGCGACACTTGAAATGGATAATCTCAGGAGTTGTACGAGTGTCCGGATTTAAAAAGGCGACTCTGTCCTGGTTCGTCCCCTAATAAAACACCCAACGCTGTCATTTACAACAGTCCGTAAAATATTTGGAATAATCTGAATATAAATTCAAATTGCGAGGCGTAAGTTATATCAAATGTGTGCATGTTGTATTTATTTAAATGTCAGATTCTTCAGAATGAAGAAACCCAACTTTGCGCACTGGACATTCTTCACTATGAGGAATAATACAAAGCCAAAAGCTGTGGTAGTTTTAATTAAATGTCGGCCACATCCAACGAGCTGTACGGTTATTTTTTGCCTTTAATTGTGAAAAAAAAATTAAAAATCGTCTCAGCATTCCATCCAGTCCAGCTGTGCCAGAACTCCGTGCGCGCATCTAAAGCGCGGAACTCGGATCATGCAGCCAAGAAAAAGAGAAAAGTCCTTCTTACCTCTTTCACACCGGGATCGTGGCTCTCACTCCATGCGATAAGCATGCAGGGGGTATTCATCAATTTGTGTAAAAGCTCCCACTCCTGTGCGTCAGAGACCCAACAGTACCAGGACACAGACAGACCGAACTGCGTAACAACACGTACTGACAGCGACACCAGCTTCGACTACCCAGTCTTGGCCAATGTGGCTTTGTTTATGTGAGCTCTGGATGTCGTGGCCCACGTGTTTCACTGCGCGACGTCATCGGCGTCGACAGCTGCACAGACCAATCCGCATGGGAGGTTTCTGCAGCCCTTGTTTCTTGTGCTGAGCGTGTTTGGTTTGGGTTGTGTGTCCCGTGTTGTTGCTGCTGCTGCTGCTGCTGCTCATGCTGCTGCTGCTGCTCCCCCCCCACATAGACATGAGCAGAGATGTGAGTGCAGGTGAACCTGGATCAACTCTGTCTGTGCAGAGTTTGAATTCAACCCAGATGTGTTCTAACACTTCACGTCAGACTGTGTGATGTTTGGTTGTTAACGGCAGCTCTGCTATTATGGAATTTGGTCGTTTAGAGACATGTGTGAAATGTACTGTCCTGTGGACAAGGCTGAGGGAACTGTTGGATTTGTTCTCCCAGAAAGACAAAAATAAACATTTGTGCCTTTCATTATCAGTTTACACTCACATGAAGGTAATTGTGTGTGCAGTATTTGAGCCAAAATGAAATATCTTTGGATACAATTATAAACCTATAATGCTGAAAATAGTACTAATGTTTTTGTTTTTGTGTGATGTCATCGCCCATGTAACCTCAGCCACCTGCAGATGCTTGATTTTTTGATTTTAAAGACACACATATGTATGTTTAAAATATATTTTTAATATGTAGCAGTATATTGCTCCTAAATTGGGGTTGTCCACTGCAGTGAGCCGTCTGCTTCTTGTTGATCAATATCTCACTCAAAGCTGCATACGCTGTGCTTACTGCACTAGATAGATTAGATTAGATTAGATTAGATTAGATTAGATTAGATTTTATTGATCCCACACTGGAGAAATTGACGTGTTGCAGCAACAAAGAGAGACAGAGAATGACACAAAGAGGAGAAAAAAAATAGCAATAGCAGTTAAAAAAAAATAAAACAGAATTAAGTGTTGCTGATGTAGAATATTTCTAATAAAGGAGGGAGGTGGGGGGAGTGAAGGGGGGGGGCCGTCAATATTATTTTTCTTTATCTTCTGACAGGGTTACTGTATTTACAATTGTTCCAAATTTAGACCTCAGGAGGGGTGGGGTCTGCCTATTCATAGAGATGTTATTAGTGTATAGATGTGAGCCGGAGTCAGAGAGGAGAGGGGGAGCGGTGGGTTGTGGGTAATTAGTGGGCCTGCAGCCAGTCGTCATGTGAGGGGGGGGGGCAAATATTGTCCCCCAGAGAGGGAAGCGTGATAGGAGTGGGGTAGAATGGAGAGTGACGCAAAAAACTGCTCAAGGTGACGCAGTGGCCAAAATAATCTCGGGGCCTTATTGTTCTGCAGCGATGGAATTACTGATCTGAGTGTAATCTTACAGTAACACCTGGTAGCCAATCACAGTGGCCTACTTTTTTTTTCCTCCATACATATTGGTCTGGGCAGAGTGCCAAGAAGGAGATCATACAGTATGTGTGTGTGTGTGCGGGCAGAGACGTGGAGCCACATGCGTGTAAAGCAGACAGAATTGTTATTTCTAGTCTTTATTATACAAATACACAACAGGACTCCCACCAGTTTTTTTTACTGTACCCAGAGCACTTGAGGACAGAGTGTGCATGGGAAGGACGTAAGGAGGGAGGGGGTGGACCACCACCACCACCACCACCACCCAGCACCAGTGTATATTCTGTACAATCCCACCTCTAGAGGACACTATTGTTCACCAGCCATACATCACACTGCCTCTGTTACTTACAATTAACCTTTTAATTAGCCTATACCCATTAAGGCGATGTGGTCACGCCCAGTCATTTTCAGGTGGGCATGATGGCAGCGTTTGTAAATTACCCATTACACTCAATGTACTGTGAATACTCCGAGGAAAAATATTATTGTCCTGAAAGTTCTGTGATAGGTTGTAATTACTCTGACATCCCTCCCCGCTGCCAGGGCCGTTGGCTGTTAAAAAACATTTCACATTGGCATCTTCCACGGGAGGCTTTTAGTCTGACACCTGAGAGTGAAACGGGGTCTGCAGAATGACGTGTGTCTGCAAACAGCGCTGCCATTGGCACTGCGTGGTCAGGCTGTCTATCCTTACAGCAATTAGAATTAAATTTGAAAACACAATTAACAGTTTAATTGACCATTTCACTGGAGAATAATTAACTTCCCTTTTTATGTGCTCAATTAATTGGGAGTCATTTCAATGAGAGGTGAATTTTAACCACAGAAGTTCTTTCTTTTGGTTATGCATTAATTTCGTTTTTTTTTTTTTTTTTACCCATTTTGTGTGTTTACCATACTTTACATATACTTCATTACCTGGACAACGCTCTTTACATCTGCTGCCTGATGTTGTCATTACACTCCAGCGTCAAACACTTCATTTATTCAGTGCACACTGTCAGGTACTTAAGATTACAACTTAACAAACACGTGATGATGAGCTCGTAAAATGCAATGATTTGTGACAAGGTAAATAGAACATTAGGTTGAAGCAATTATTTCCTGCACGACTCAGTGCGAAATTTACTAATTTAGAAATACTGCTTGTTTTTCAGTGATAATAGTCATTATTTCCCGAGCTGTCAATAGCACTTGACTCCTCAGCACCTCCTCCCACGACCTATAAACAAGGCTCTGGCCTCTCACACTACAACATGGCTCTGAATGTTTTAGAGTTCAGGATAAGTTGAATGGTTTATTGCAGCTGGAACTTAAAAAACAGCATGAATGAAAAGGATGCAGTGCTTCCTGATACCACTATGTGACACTGCATGTTCTTGGTTAACATGTAAAAAAGTATTTGGCAAAACAATACAATTTTAAAGGTGATTCTGTTAACCATTTTCAAGTTTACATTTACCAGATTTAAGTTAATGTGAAAACTCCTTTTTAAAAAGGCACCAAAAAAAGTTAGCAAACATTGTCACGAAACTTAAGTAAATAAATAGCCAACTTTTTTTTTCTTTAGAGAACGCCAGAGACTTTATGGTTTGTAATGACTAATACACAGGCCCACTGGATCAGGTGCATCTACATAAAAGTACCTGTCACTGCTAACTTTCAGGTTCGCTGCCAAACTATTTATCCACACTGGCTACTGGAACAAAAATAAAACAAAATTGGTCCAACGTTCTGTGCTGGTGTTAACACCAGAAAAATCTGATCTTTGTGAAAAAAAAATCTTTTAAATTATTCACCTTTTTATTTAATTCCCTTCACTTAATGATTGAATAATAATATGGATAATTATATTATTATTAATGATAATTACAATTAGCCATATCAGAATCTCGCATAACTATCACTATACTTTGACATTACTAATGCTAACAATTATTACTGTTAATTGAGTAATTAATAATTACTTAATTAAAAATAATTATAACATATAATTTATTTAGCATCATTATTATTATCGTCATTATTATTAATATTTAGCAGGCATTATTATTATTATTATTATTTCATACCCCTCCTCCACACAGATTGGCCAGGATCATCTTTACTCCAGGATTTGACTCATTCAAGGGAAAAGGACTAAACTGCTTTGCCTTCCTTTAGTAATTCTTTCTGTCTCAGTTACTTACAAGCAGCTCTTGATCTGAACCTGGATCAAACTCTTTCAGGGACGGCGGCTCAGCTTCCCTGTGCTACGTGTGTAGTTTGCACGACCCTCTGGCCGCTCACTCCTGCAAATCTCATTTCCCTTCCGAGCACCAGCAGGTATCAAACTCACTGAGAATTGAAAAGCCCGACCCTGAAGGCATCCCTTTGCTCAGTGTCTTCCTTCCATTTCTAGATTTCTACTTTACAAGCTTAAATGTCTACTTAATATGCTTTAATGCCTGCTCTTTAGAGCCGGGGAGCACTTCATCACTTTTATACACCTTTATATAACACACTGTTAACTAGCAGTGCCTTATGGAACAGCTTGTCTTGCAGCTGGAAGGCGCCTCCATGGCATGATGGAGGTACCTGTTCACCATTCACAATGAGACAGTAAAATGGGAATAGAGGCCTGTGCACGGCGCCGTCGTCTATATCAGTCAACCATGAATATTCATGAATCACAGTGTCATGACATGCTCTGTAATTGGCAGCAACATTAGCAATGACACTGCTGGTATCAGGTCCTTGCATATTCATGTGGTGGGGCAATATTTTCTCCTGGTGTTGGTTTCTCTCTCCCCCCTTTATCCATCTCTCTCTCTCTCTATGTCTCTCTTTCTCTCTGTTTTTGACTCTAAAGTGAAAATGTATTCTGAAGCTGCAGGTGTCCTGCTGCCACAATCAATTGCTGGCTGGATTGTGCCCCAGTGAAAATCAGACAAACCATTAGTTTCTTTGCCGTCCTCTCTGATTAATAACATATCTGAATCGTAAAAACCTGACAGGACTCTAAATAGTTTAAAGGGATTCTCCTCTGACCTGAAGGACTCATATAATGCTCTGCTATTAACCTGGGCTAATGCTTTTCAAAAGATCAGCGGTGAGTGTATTGATTAATTTAAAAAGTAATAAGCCCTGGTTATTGGATGACACAGTGTGTTTGTTGTATTAGATGATATAACACATGCGTTTGTCTCCTTTAACTCCAACCACACAGACACAGACACAGGCCTTCTTCCGTTGTTGTGTACTATCCCAGCTGTGGTCTCAGGGGTACACTAATGGTACCATGTACAAGTGCTGGGGAACTATTTATACCTAATAGTGTTTTATAGACACAGCAGCACAGCCATGTCTGAAGTAGTCACATCCTTTACTTAAAAGTCTCACGTGCAACATTTAAGAGAGTTTATTGGCATATATTATCTCTTTAAATGCATAATCAATTTGGAATAAAACTAGTTTTCATTTCCTTTCATAGCCTTTCATGTCTACTATAGACAAGGGACATGTTTTAAGCCTGGACTATAAGTAAAACATGGACGGTGTTGTCATGTTACTGCCTGTGGTTGGAAAGGGGGAAAAAAACTGTAGTATTTGTCTGGTTTCAAAAGTTACTTCATACAGTATATAAGTCACTATATATCACTGAGATTCAGAACTGGGCAGTACTGCACTGAAGTTGTAGTACAGTTGTAGTAGTATAGTGTGTTAAAAATACAGGTCTTGTATTCATGAAGACTGGAGTTCCAAAACATTTCCATGCCATAACCCCCCCTCCAACAACATTAGCTTCTGGCCCAGGACCCCCTTTGCAAATCCACAAAAAATGCTAAAAAAAAAATGTAAAGAAAGATAAACTTCAAGAATGTATTTTCTTAACTTTATTTATTATTATAAAATTATTAACAAATCTGTTTTAAGCACTTTATATCCCCACTGCGTTATAATAATAATAAACTGTTGTTCTTGTCCTTTTTGCTATAACAACTTTATAATCTGTATAAACTCATCTTGCCGCTGTCACATGAGGTGCATTCAGGCACCAGCGGAAATCTGAGAATTCGAAGATCATGGCAGTTTATGTGTTATACAGTTCAGGACAATGTGGTTGTAAAAATATGTATTTACAAAATACAAAAAAATAAATAAATTTTTTTTTTTTTTTTTTTTGCATTTTTCTTCCCTCTACTTTTTGGAGGGCCCCCTAGTGCCCCCTGGTGACACAAAGCCCCCACTTTAAAAACCACTGCATTAAGATATCATAAATTAGTTTAATTTAGCTTACTCTTGTTACTTTCCAAAGAGAAATAAAGCTAAGAAAACATACATGTTGGACTTGGTCCTGTGGATTCGGCCTGATGTGTCCATGCATCAACTACATTACCATCTTTACATTTCTCCTGCCCCTTTCTTTCCCCTGGATCACCAGCTGAGCCGTGTCTTCCCAAAGCCGTAGGAGGCATGGCATTCCAGGGGCAGATAATAGAATTGCTGCCAGGTGCAGAGACAGGATTTTCCTTTTATTATTTCTTGTTTGTCCAGAACTTTACGGCCAGTGTTAGCAGACATGGTCCATGGGAAAAACCTGTGCTCTGCGGGGGCTCTGAATTGCAATTATTGTGTAATTTTTTATATATATTAAATGTTCAGATTGAATTCAAACAAATACAGTAATGATCTAATTTCCACATAATGTAATATATTTGGCAAATTGCGTAATTCTAGAAATAAATAAATTGACTCAGTGCTTCTGCATGTGGTCAGTGGTCTCTCCAGTGATTAGTTATTTATCTACCCTTCCTCAAACCCACGCACTCAATGTCGTATATTTGTTTAATCAAAAAATGTCAATTCAAATTCAAATTTTCCAGAGCGTCATGTAAAGATAACTCCAGTTATGTAGCATCCTGTGAGCTATTTCCACCTCTTCCTAACAGATAGTAGATTATACTGTTGATAAAGTGCATCTGTAATGTGTAGATGACTAACAACCGCAGTCAGAGGACGTCATTAATCTCTCTCTCTTGTGCTTATTTAAGATAATCCTGCACCATCATCCTTTTCAGTAACACGTTTCACAATTAGTCAGCTTTGTTGGCTGTCATGTCTCGGCGCCATTTGTCTGTGTGCCACACGCAGATCATGTGATTAATCTGGATAGACAGTGTTTTTGAAATGTTATTGAGTTTGGGATGTAAACAAGCGTGTGATGTATAGTTTTTTATTGCTTGATGCTGTCTGACAGCTTTGTCAACGAAAATGCATGGCTTCCTTCTTACTAAATCCATCATGAGGAATATAAAGACATATGCATAATAATGAAACACATTTATTAATATGTACTGTCCCCTGGAGTCATGTGACAATGAAATGGATGGCTGTTTTTTTTGTTTGTTTTTTTTGCATGGATGCTGTGTATCGCATGTGGAAACAGCCGTGCAGGTAAAACAGTCCACATGGATGAGCTCCTAACCAGTCGGGGTCAGATACTGTCTCTAACAAACTAATGGGAGTCCAATAGGTTGTCTGTGAAAACCCAAAGAGGTCAAGCACATCTGCAGGTCAAAATTTTTTATAGCAAAAATAGATGCAACAAAAAACTACATATATACGATGGCCAGTGGTCGTCAGGCGACTGTACTTGTTTAGCTATGGCATAGGATTTGCTTTGTGGCCAGTGAGGCAGCTTCACTAGGATTCATTAATAATAGGCCCTCAAACAGTTGCAAAGAAATCATGTCCCTTAAAATGAACTCCTGCTTGTCTTTATTTGCTTGAAATACTTGATTTAAAAAAAAGATACTTTGACTCATTGTTGCTGGATATACACACTAATATGTGGCCAAATAATTTGTTTCCCCTTGAGTCAGTCTATGGCTGACTGACACATTTATCATATGGATGTGAGGGTCTGTAGACTGATTAATTAATATTGTTAAGGAATGATGAATTGACACCAAATATGATAATGATAATTATTATGAATGGTGATTACTTCATAGCGTTCCTATGATTGTATATATGCATATATAGCATGTAGGTGAGAGGTGGGGGTGGTACCTCCCCCTTCCAACCAAATGAAGCCCTCTACGTCACGACTCACTGTTTCAGAAACACTCCTTCAAAACCATTGTTTTTATCGACCGCCTTGGTAGAAAAATTCATTGATTGTTTCCAAATCTGACATTGTGCAAACGATGGTGAATTGTTTGGAGACAAACTCTGAGTGGCCAACTGAGAGGATTTTATTTTTTTGTTCTTCGTGGCACACTTTTCTTCACCCCCTGCTGTCACCCACAAATGGTCATTCTCCACTCTGATGTTGCATAACCTCATTGTCATTGTGATGGAGCTGCCTCCACTCCGTCTCTGTGGAGCTGGATCACAGAACTGTGGAGCAGCAGCAGCAGCAGCACGTTTGGACTGAGAGGATTTCTTAAGTCCATGGCTTTTAATCCAATCACCAAAACACAGAAATGTGAACGATGACTCTTTAATTCTCCTCCGCCCT